TGCAGCGACATATGTTCAGTGTGTGCTCTTGCCATGACTGTTCCTGGGACCCCTGAAACTGAGTTTTGGCATCAGCTTCTCCAATGTTTGCTGCATTTGGCTAGGATGAGTGAATGTTGACAACATAAAAGAGTCACTCAATCTGTATGATTGCCTTGTTTTGCACAGTTGTTAAATGGTTAATGACAGTTGAGATCTTTAAGACTTCCTTTCTACTTGCTATACATTCTGTTTTAAATGAGTCAATATTAATCTCTGTTTACATTATTTCAAGGAAGACATGTATGAAAGAGGTAGGAAGACAGTATTTATTTATGCAAATTTTATCTTGTGAACCTTCAGCTACTGAAGTACAGATAAGTCAGCAAAGCACTCTGAATTGTATTGGTAGTATCTAAAATCATATTAATGACAATGTGAAGAAACAGTACAAATCTTGTTCATACTGGGTTGTTTGAGATTAGTGGGAAGATTTTGTTTTCTGTGTTGCAGATGTAGAAAGCACGATAAAAAGTGTGAATGAAGGCAAGAGTGACCAATGAGGAACATAGTGAGCTTAATACAGAGCCTTGCTCAGAGCTTACTAGGTCACTAGAAAAGGATGACCATGATGACTTTGTGCAGCTTTGAAAAGGGACATGACCACAACAACATCTAATAGTGAACCCCAGGGTTTTCTTCCTTTTCCAGGATACTGTCCTCCTTCCAGCTGCCCTAGATTCCCAATGGTGTCATACTGATGAGAGTGAATTTGAAAAACCGAGCAATGGTGTATTTCATTCTTTTGGCACTGATGAGAACTATACATCTACAAATATATGTTTCTTTTTGGTTAAACTTTTGCCTGAAATAACAGTGAAGACTGTGTGCATGCAAATGTGTCAAACCTCTCTTTCTCCACTGTCACTTTTATTCATTTTGAGGTGGTTACTGATCTATCTGTTCTAACCTTTGGTGAATGTATGAGTTGGGGAAAAAGTGAACTTTGGTATCCAGAGTTCAGCGTTCTGATATGACACAAAGCAAAAAGCTTCTGAGTTGTACAGGAATTACAGCTAACATTCCAAAGGTTTCAGATTATTTTTTTGGACTGTTGTGATCACAAGGACTTCAAACTTTTCTCAAGGTATCTGTTGCTTTTATTGTGCATTTACGTTTTGTTTCAAAACCATTCATCATCTAAAAGCAGAACCTTGCAATTTCCATATGCCGCTGTCCACAATGTGTTTTCATTTTCCTGGTGGTATTGCCGTATTCAATATTTATGTGATATGCTTTGATACTTTGCACATGGATGTTCTGCTTTCCCTCACAAACATCTAAACTGTCATCCATCTTTTTGTAACTTCATCAGAGAGTTGGGCCTCTGATTGCATCTCCAATACCTGGAAGAGAAGATATTTGCACAACTACGGGCTCATTTTCAGTGATTTTCTTTGCAGCCTGACCGTTGGCAGTCAGTTCCTGCTACTAGAGCCTGCCCTAATTCTTTGGCACAGTTTTATCATTTCTCCTAAACTAGAGATTTCTATAATATTGTCTTGATCTGATCACTCATGGAAAGTAGAGATGGTACAAGTAGATTATGTGGTTGAGAAGACGTTGGTTTTTCCTGTGAGGGTTGGTCTGAGGACCAGTGTTTTATACAAGGGAAAATTCAACTCTCTTGAATGCCAGTTCAGCCATTTCTAAGCCTCATTTTTTTTCTCTCAAGCAGCAATATGATGGCATCCATGACCTCTATGAACAATAATTACCAGTAGTAAGCCCGATAACTGAGATAAATTAAAATTTTAATAGCACAGTTTTCTTACTATTCCACCTGCATTTTAAGATCACTGTGATAATCTTTTATTATTAATCACAGACATTTTAAAAATCAGGTAAGTCTGAGAGGCCTATCTTGAGAAATTAATAAATCTTACAGGATTCCTTCCCTTTCTCCTCTGGAGAAGGCTATATTTTATCTTTAGTTGGCAGAAAGCTGTGCTGGTCAGGGAGACTGTGGTGAATGCAGAAATTGAATTAAAACATCCTTAATTCTGTTCCTTAGCCATGGCTCCATGTTGTCCTTCCTGGTTTAAACAAGTATTTAATATAAGCTGATAAATTGTTCACATGTTTCATCTCAGCTTCTGTTTAGATGAATCCAACTCATTTGGAGGCAGGGGGGCTGCACTCTTTTCACTCTCAAAGAGTATTCTATTCTTCCATAGTTCTTAGTAAACAAAAAAACCTTTTATGCTTCCTTGGTGTTATATTTCATTACTAATATTGGCCAGGCTAACCTGGTAGACTGCAATGGAGTAAAGTGTAATTTGCGCAAATGAAAATCAGAGTAGAATTAGCCAAAAAAACCAGTATCTAAGCAGATAGAAAATAGGGTGCAGTTTGACAACTGCAACATCAAAATGCTTATACAGTACTTTTAACTATTTAGCTCTCACATTAACATGCTGACTTGCTGCAGTCACATAGCAGACTTCAGTATTGAAGAATCGTGTAGTTGTTTTAGAAATATTTATCATGCCAGCAGGAGTAGTAAGGTGTAGCAAATCTCAAAGTCTAGCATTATTCCACTCCTTGTTGTTAGGAGTCTTGCTCTGTTATTTACTAATGTGTTCAGTAAAAAAAAAATAAAAAAAAATCAGGAATATATCTCTGGATGTAGAAGCAAAGCTTTTATAGTATCATATATTGTTGAGAATTATCATGGATTACCATAGTCTGCTCCTAGTCTGTAATACAGTGTTACTGTAAAGTCTGTGGGCATACATCACAATTTAGTGCAACTTAATAGAAGACAGAACATTTAGGTTCACTTCTTTGCTGTGTCAGGAAGGGTTTATTTGTGAGAAAACGCTTTTCCCAAGAGCTAAATCTGAAATATCTCATTCTGTTGTTGTTGTGTGCTCTGAAGTTCAACAAAATCAGAACTGTATGCATGAAGAGCGAGTGAATACTTGAAGTGTAAAGCCGCTTGTGCTGCCAATACATGCTGAAGGTTTAACTTCATCATAGGACAAAGAGCTTGGCAGCCTGGGGCTTCTGCCTTCTGCAGGAGATCTTGGCCTTTTTCCTATCCTGGGCTGTTGAGAAGTCCCCCAGTATTTACACTGACAGCAATTACCATAGAAAGCTCACATAAGAGCCTTGTCAACAGACTCCAAAGCCAAGCTGAAGACTAGCTTGCTGCGTCATAGACTTTAAGAGACTAGAGCAATGAAAGTGTGCTTATGGCTGGTGTAAAGCCAGCAGATTTGAAGCAGAAAGGATAGGCAGATCATTTTCCCTTAGAGAATGAGCAATAATTACTAGGAATGCTGGAAGACCTCAAGTGTGGCCAGAAAGTTAGTGCAGCCTGTGTTCGGAAGGTTTTTGTCACAAAATCCATTCCAGCAAGGTCATGTGGACTAGCACAAGTGAGCATATTAATCTCTTTTTCCTGTTTGCCTCTCCTCCAGTTATATGAAACCTGGGATTTTATAAGTTTCCTAAGAGAGTGGGCCATCTCTTTGTTGTTGTTGTTGTTTTTGTTTTGAGATTTCCACCCTGAAGTCTTTTCTTTTAATATTTTGACAGGGATAGTCTGCCTTACTCCCTGTAAGAACTCCCTTTGGGTCCAAACTCAAAACTTCTCTAAGGCAAAAATTAATCTTCTAGGACTCCACCTGATTTATGATTTCACAGAAGGATTTGTAATCCAAGTGAGAAACTGGCTTGTCAAAAAGATGCTGAATTTTATTTGAGTCCTCTGGGCTCAAGAGAGTCCTCCCTCTCTTGTGCTAGTTTGGAAAATTATTCATTATATGAAGGTGTACCCTGGAATGAAGACCAGAGGTCATCTGTGTAAATTTAGGTAATCAGTCATCTGTGGATCCTAGATTGCTCAATATTTAGATTAACGGGGACTTTGTTAGGTATAGAAGCTCTTTCATATGAGTAATTCGGCTCTGGACTAGATGTATCACTGGAAACATGCATCCAGTAGGGAACACTCTGAATTTGGCAGGAATGATGTATGAGACATAAAACCAGAGGCCGCCTCCTCTCACTGTAATTCCTGTGGGCTGGTTCCTGAAGCCCTTAATCAGCAATCTTCAAATTTACTCAAGTGGGTCTGACTCAAACCAGAAAGAGACATAAACTGTTATATCTCTGGGAAGAAACCTGAGGGTGGGATCCCAGAAATCTTTTTGACAATATGAGCCTTGCCCACACTGCTCTGGCCTTCTCCCAGTGTGAAAAGAAGGTCACCAATAATGGATGATCCATGGTGGTATCTTAATTTCAGTCAGAAGGGGGCTTCCTCAGAAAACCAGTTTATTCTTGTTCTGGTGCACATTACAGAGAGGTCTTGCAGTACCTGGACGTAAGTGCTATCAGACAGAGAGATGGGCAGAGCAGTGCCACCCAAGTGTGTGTGAACAGAGACTCCCAAGTTCTCTGCACAAGTGAGCTCAATATGTGGGCAAAGTAGGATAATGAATTTATGAGAAATGGAAAAAAAGGGACATTAAGTAGGGTTTATAGTCCAGCACAATATGGCACACTTGGCTATATTTCAGATTAACTTGCTTTTTTCTTCATCCAGGTGAGCTTGCTTTTCTTAGGCTGTTTTTCTTGGCTTCACAGGCTTTTTTGGCTACAGACTATAGTAGTAGACAGAAACAACCCTTTCTTTGTGAAGGTTATGCTTTTGCACTTTAGATAATCAAGGCCGTATCAATGCTCGCTTAGCGACTATTTTGTAGTTGCAATCTGCAGCTGACTTATACAGTGAGGTATTATTAATCAACCACCTGGGAATCATGAACTCCTGTGCTGGTTTTTTCCCTTGCAGAGGTCACCGTTGTCCACACCTGCCCACCAGGCCCTTTGAGAGGAATGAGAAGCCATGTATGCTGACGGAGCACAAGGATCAATACCGCCTTCATCCTATCACTCTTCCCAGAAACTCATTTAAGCCAAAGGAAGAATACAAGATGGCGCAGATACGTATGGAAGGCATCTCAACTACCAAGTATGAAAAACAGTGAAAAAGAGTGAGAACTGTGTCTTAGATAATGTGTATGTGAGAGATGGATAACAGAGAGAAGAGAAATGACTGGTTTTCACAAGGGAAGCCTGAAAAGAACAGCTTTGCAGTTGTATAAACACACATGAGGGCTCTGTGAAGGAGGGAGGAAGATCTAAGCCAGTTGTAGTGGAGGCATGCAGGTATTTTTCTTGCACTTTCTGGAGACTGAGGTGTGATCTGATCAGAGAATACATGGGTCGTAGAAGCACAGTCGTGGTCTTGGCTTTTGTTCACTTTCTGTTTTGGGAAATCAGCCGAAATGTTGTCTGGGAAAGTATGGATGATTTTGGAGCAGTATTTTGATTTTGTTCTGTGTTTCATGTGGTGCTTAGTACATTGTAATGTGAATGACATGTTTCCAAGGAGGTGTGAATATGGTAGAGCTTGATCATTAGAAGGGGGATGTGGGTGTTTTTCTCAAGGCAGTCACTGTGGATTTCTGGGCTCTTTTTGCTTCTCAGTACACCTTCAATGTTGCTTCTCATTGTTGGTATTTGGTAAAAGTCCTCACACTTGCACTGTGCCCATTTCCCTAATGGAAGCAACTTCTGAGGCTGTTCCCTGCTGCTAGTAGAGTGATGTGCCAACTGCTTGTCCACAGAAGAAACTCATAAAAAATAAGAATGTGATCTTTTAATATGAATGTGTGAGGTTCCCTTTCCCTGAACAGCAGCTGTTGCCTTATCTAGACTTTTACATCTGTTGTTCTTGCAGGCACAGTCATGAGCAACATCACTGTTGCCTTTGCTGAACTGAATTAGAGACCTAGGAGATGCCAATGGCTATTAATAAAGACTTGCAGCTAATACCACCCATTTGTCCTCATCCTGACATGGAAGCTCTATCAACTTCCCTTACCTATGCCTTTTTAGAACTGTTGATTTAAATCACAGATATGGCTGATGGAATATAAAATGCCTGACTTGCTCACATTTGGGATGCTTCTGTCTACATGGGAGTTTTCAGCAACAACTGAAAGGATTAGGTTTTCAAAGAGCAGACTTGACTTCTATATATGCATTCCATCTCCAGTATGAGACAAGGCAGCAAGGCATCTTTGTGTCTGACTATAAATAAATCCTGGGCTTACTCATGTCCTCGTAAGGCAGGTGAGGAAGGGCAGCCACTGTGTGGGGTTTGTCAGAGAGTCCTTAGAACCATCCTATTCAATCAGCAAAACTATCCTTGCTCAAACAAGGCTGGTGATTCCCACAGTAATTGTTGCTCCTGGAGTTTAGTGCAGCTTCTGAAAAGCAGACTAATAAGAAAGTGCAGAAACTACTTATATTTGCTTCCTTAGAGTGACTTCAGACTGACCGTCTGACCATGCTGATGTTTCTTTCCTCAACTGGTGTTCTGCTGTAACACTGTTTTGTGTTATCTCCCCATCCAGGGCTGAACTGCTGTACAGGCTATTGTCTGGGAAGCCTATTGTTGCCTCTCGTGTTTCCCATACATACTAGGTGGCCTGCTATAAATATTGGGTTTTTAAAAGGAGTTATGTCTTCTTGTGTAGCTCCACTGTAGAACAAAGATAGGTTTGTTTTGAGACCATTAACCTCACTGGGTGGAGAGAAGGGGTAACCTGGCCTGCCTGAGGTTGTCCAGAACTGTCTCAGTCCCTTTTAAGAGTCCAGGTTTGCTTGTGTGCTTCCTGAACTGCTTGTCTTATCCAGACTTTCTTGGGCTGTCAACTTAAGGGGAAGTATTAATTTCTTTGTGTGCCCAGAAAAAGGAACATAATTTTTTTTTCTTTTAAACACAAAACATAATGAAATTATTCTTTACAGGAGAGATTACGTGCCTCATGAAGTGTTGCCACAGAAACGTAAACCAGCTGAAAAGTATTGCAAGGGTAATGGGAGTATGGATTTGACCTCCACTTATAAACAAGACTATAACACCTACCCTATCTCTCGAGTATCTCCATGCCTACCCTGTGAGACAAAACACATCCCTGACACCAAGATGGATACAAGAACCACTTATGAAGGTATGTGCCCTTGAAGTTTCTTTCAGGACTTTACCAATAGCTTCATTTTGTAAGAAGACAGATCGAAACAGTGTGCAGTTGTTATTCTTTCTGTCTGTGTATGCCAACAAGCTGTACAGGAACCACACAGACACAGATTGTTGGGAATAGAGCCCTGCATCAATAGTAGCATTGGGATCTCTCTGAATTCACCTTCTGAGCATGTCTGACAGGCCTACAGGTATCCTAGGTAGAAGCAGGGCCATATGAACTCCTGCAAGTGGATCCAGGATCTTCATATTTAGAATATCCTGAACATACTCTTGGTATACTGCACACATTCAGTGGATCAGACACCTACAAAATATGAAGAATTTGCTAGGTCTTTTGTGCTGCAGAGTTAATTGGTGGTTGTGCAAGAGATGTACATGGGAATTACGGACAGACAGAAGTTCCACACAGACATCCAAAGCACTCAAGCTCTACTCCTGGTAAAACAGGGGAACCATGTGTCCAACTGTGCCCTTGTTTCTCAGTAGCAGTAACTTAGTGTAGGTGGTTAGCCTTTGTGGCGGCTTTGTTGCCTTCCTCTCCACCAGCACAAATTCTCTTCTGGGAGACAACTTTTAGTTACGCAGTTGCAGAAACTGTGCTAGTTTTGGTAGTCAGTCATAAGTAGAAAATCAGGATTTTTCCCTCCAGCTAGCTAATGTTGCTAGGCAGATAGCTAGCATTTGTGTATTTCTTATAATAATTTTTGGCTATTTTATTATTCTGTGCAAATATTAAAGCTTGTGATTGATGCTTGCATTGAGATTTGTCCAAATGTACAGAAATATTATTTTTCTTAAAACTCAAAATTATAAAGAAGGTAAGTAATTAAAAGATATATGAATGCAGTATTAAGATTATCCAGCTGAAATGACTGAAAGTCTGACTTCAATGCAGCTGCATATTTGCAATGGCATAAACTGGAATTTTTACTTTAAGCACACAGGAAGTACTGTCCATTTAGAAAGACTTGATTTATGAAGACTATGACTCACAGGTGCAAAATACCCACATTTACACAATTTGGAACACTGTGTTTTGCACAGGCAGTGTCACCAGATTATATTCATTGAAATGGCTTCAGTGAAGAAAATAAAAGAAAAGGCCACTTTGCGGAAATGGGATCTTTCCTTCTGTGTTTAGATATCCTTAACTTCTCTGTATCTGAACTAGATGTATATGTTTGTCTTTTATCAGTGTTTAGGTCAGCACCTTAACTGTTACACCAAGGCTCTAATAAAACGCATCACAGCTTTGTGTAATTTTGTTTGTGCAGTACAATAGCCACTGCCATTCAAAAGGAATAACTCTGTTTGGATTGGAGAGTTCAAATATCCTGGTACCTAATTGCATCATTTACTCTCTAGTACTTTGAAATCCAGACTTCCTTCCTGTGCAAAGTCAGCTGGAAGCTTATTTGCCTTGTGACTCTCAATGTGGTCTGAATGGAGGGAAAAGGAAAAAAAACCACAAAAACAACAAAAGACTTGGGTTAGCTCCAAGGCTATTTCATTTCAACTTCCTACCAGTAACCATAATGATCTCTAGGGGAAGTTGCAGAGGATTACTAGGAAGGGAGAAAATACTGCTCTTGTGGCTGCAGCACTGGTCAGAGAGTTAGGCAGCTTTGCAATAGATTTCTAGTGTGATTGAGTGCAAATCTTACTAAGTCTCAGTGCCTTATTTTTTTTTCCTGATATTCTGCCAAGGAAGGAAGATATAAATGTCTCTGAAATGCCAGCTAAAATGTTTTCTTAGCCATCAATTTGGATAGCAAGATTTCTGGAGTATGGACCATCTCTGTGATATGATTCAATGCTTCAGATCAGTGCAAGCTTGGTCTGCAAATTCCAGCAGATTTTTTCTAATAAGGAAGAATTGGAGACAGCGTCACAAGTTCCTTCTTGGTTTCTGCTTGTACTGACAGTCGGAGTGCCACAAAGAGCAAAGCCAAGAGCTGAGGAAATGCCACAAAGCACAGCTTTCTGACACCAAAATGAGCTGCAAAACCCTGAACTCAGTAACCAGTAGACAGTATCACATCTCTGCAGTTGAGAAATCAGGGCATCCCCAGATGAGGAGGTACAAAGAGAAAGGATAGACAGCTCTGCGACTTGGCCTTTAGAGTGGAGTGATGAACATCTTGTTCTGCTTGCCCCAGAGATACTGTGGGAGACAGCTGAACAGTGTTCTGCAGACATAGGCATAGTCTCCCTGTGCTCTGAGCCAGCTCAAAAGTAGCTGCATACGAAGGTAAATGAAGGAGGTTGAAGTCAGTACTGTGATGCTCTCATGATTTCCGGTTGACTCAGCATGAGAACAGCACCCACTCAGTCACCTGCATAAAATGCCTCTGAAAGACTGAGAATTTAGTTTAATCTTCCCATGTTGTATTTCACCATCTCTGTAGATATGGGTGGGTACAGGTCTATTTTCATTCCATTGTCTGTAAGTATTTCCAGAGATTAGCACACTAGTGTATCATGTGTTCTACAGCAGCTCTTTTAATAGGATTTGTCAATCATTACAACATCAGCAAATATTTATTACAGTAGCAAATGTAATAATCAAAACGTAATCTAATATGTACCTAAACTCACCAAGGATATTCAGTTGAGCACTCAAATAGGATTCCTCTTATGTTTCAGATGATTATGTGTTATGGAATGAACCAAAGACGTTGTGCATCAGACCAGATGACAGGTTTCACCCATCAGAAGAAAAATTTGGCCACAGAACTGTTGCCCAGGATGACTATCTCTACAGGGGACCAGTTGCCACTCAAAGCTGCAAACCTCTGAATCTGGTCCAGGAAAACAAGGCTCCCTTTGAGAATATAACCAATTACAGAGTGAGTTATGTGCCACATGCTCTGGAGAAGGTATCTCATATCCATAGATATGAGAAATACAAGGTCAATGAGGTCCCATTTGATGGGCTCACTACCCACAAAGTTTCTTACACGTGGCCGAAAGGTCAGCCAGCCAAGCTGCTAAAACCATGCCAGCAGAAGCTTGTCCATGATCCATTTTCCGCTACAACTGAATTTCAGGAAAAATACCAAGCTTGGCCACGGCTTCCTGTATTCACCAAAAAACCTGATGTTTATCTTCCACCTGTGGAGAAAATGGACCTCCAAACCACTACTCAGATACATTACAAGCAACCAAATGGCAAGCCAGCCAAGATGTGTAAGTCTTTGCCCCAGATGAAAAGAAGCACTGAGCCATTCAGTAGTGCTTCTACAATGAAGGAAGACTATAAGCCTTGGCTGTGTGAGAAAGTAAAACCTATCATTCATGCTCCGGAGCTGACTTTGTCAGTGAAACCAATGGATTGCATGACTACCTTTCAGACCCATTATGTGCCTCATCCACTCACAGTTACAAAGAGCTGTAAGCCTGGCTGGTCAAGACCAAAGCATCACACTTGGCTAGATGCTACAACCACCTATGCTACCAGCTACACCCCCAAGGGCTTTGTTAAATGCTTAGCCTCTTACAAAAACCCACCCGGTTTCGTCTTTAAGGAAACTAATTCTGATGGTCACAAGCTGTATGTCCCTGCTCCCAAGCCTGAGTGCCTGCAAGGCTGACACTGAAGGAAGAAGAGTGTGAATGCAGCCTTCTTGGAAATGAATTTGAAGAGCGGGGCCACAATGAGCTAAAAATGACAGCTTGATTTTGTCTGTAGCCTTCTTTCAAACCAATCACCAATTTTGTATTTGGAGTGCTCTTAAAATAAACTTGATTCCCAGGCGTTGGCTTTTTCTGGATCATTTGCACAAATGGAAAACATAAAATCCAGGGAAAATACACACAGATCTTTGTTTCTTTGTACTTTTTTTCTTTTCCCCCACCTAACTCTTTAATTGAGAGAGATAACCTCCTCCTGAGAAATTAAAAGAGAGATCTCTTAGTAACATACATTATTATTAGTGCCACAGGAATTCAGTTGCATCCATGGTGACAACAGTAGGACAGCCTCTTCAGATAAATTACATGCTATGAATTCACACCTAAAAGTCGTGACTGGATAACAAAGTCTGAGATCTGGCCTCATCAGTCACTCCTATTGAAGACATGTACAAAAGATACAGTTACTGGATAAATATTATTGAAGTTTACACCTTCATTAATTGTGTCACTGTGCTGCCTAGAGTTAGGCTATCAAATGTGAGGTTGTAATGCCAAAGAAGCCACCTTAGGCTGACATCTTGCAAGGAAAGCTTTTCAGTAAAAGCTCTTCGCTGCGGGATGCAGCAGGAGTACCAGAAACATCAAAGGATTGAAACTGTCTTGTGTTGCCAGCAGTTGTCATGCTCAGCCAGCAGCTGGAATTGTATTATCTTTCAGAAAAGGCCAATATTAAGCTCCCAAATAGAACTGTTCATTTCTGTGTCCAAGGTGCTTTTCTGTAGGCTTATGAGTGTTACATTAGCACAACAAAGCTTACTGGGTTCTTCAGCACATTCTACTTTCCTAAATCCCCCTCTACCTTACTTCTTACAGCTCTGGCTGTTTCCTGAGTATTTAGCTCAAGCGCTAGGTAGAGTTGTTGCATGCTGGAGGAAAGGCTTGTGTCTCACCATCAAAGTGGCTGCATTTAAAGAGTAAGTGGAAGACAATTTTCTGTATAAATGTATTTTAAAACTTTTGAAAAGTTTTAAACCCATTGGGATAGAAATCATCTGTAAGTGCTTGCAAGCTAAAGCCAAACACATTCTATTTGGACACATGAATACTTAACCCTGAGGTTGGGAAGCCACTGGAACAATCACTCTAGAGACACAGTGGTTCTGCGTCACTTGAAGTCCTTAAAGCAGTCCTTGAGGCCTTTTCTAAACATATGCTTTAGTTCAATGGTAGATTACATGCTTGCGGCAGGAACAACTAGTAAATCTCTACAGATTACACTATACAAAAGGGCTATACTATGTAGTCATTCATGGCTCCACACAGCCTTCAGAAATTCAGGAATCTGAAAATATTCATTCACATGTAGTGAGATACTGACCTAGAGTATATCTGAAATTTTTTTCAGCTCCTGCTATCTGACCAGGTTCTTGAACCTTCATGTCTTTGAGCTTCGACAGGAAAATATTTTTGCTTCCCCATCTCTTTTTATTTGCTTGGTTTTTTTTCTGATTTTATTTATCAGCCTGTAATTCTGTCAACTCTGAAAAAGTTTCTATGAAAGAAACAGGTGGGGCTTGTGGCTGCAGAAGAGACTGTTCTTTTATGCAGGAAAGCTCCCCAACTGTTCTTTCAACTCTTTGATGTGCAGATTCAGTAGAGGCTAGTGTGTAAATCTATCTTTATTACAGATTTGTGGGTTTGTTTTTTTGCTGGGTGGAAGTTAGTCTTATAAAAATGAATAGCAATGCAACATGCCACTTAGCATCAGTAATTGCTGGATTTTGAGCACTAACAACAGGAGTCTTGATTCTGCAAACAATGGCCCAGCTCACAGCAGCATCAAGCAGACAAGACTGGCTTGATTTCAACAATTTCACAGCCTGAGAGACATGTTTGGTTGGTTTTTTTTTTTTTTTTCTTGACTTGTACCTAAATGTATAAAAAACTTAGTAAAAGCACTATATGATAACACTAAGGAACAACGTGAGTTCACTTGCATGACTAAAAGTGTGGCTCCATAGAAATGAAAGCTGATTAAAGCTTGGGCTGCTGCAGTCTCACCTTTCTCTCTGCAGCTGCATGTTTCCCTCCCTTCTCTCTCTTGCTGATAACATTAGTGCTGTCAGACTGCGTGATGGGCTAGATCAGACGACTGACCTGGCTGAAGGCAAATCAGCGTTTTACTAAGGTTAGGGCTCATGTGCTTAATCTCCCTGAACCAGTGCACCACACAGTTGCACAACGACCAGTGGAGGTGCAGGAGATCAGTGCAGAAAGAAACAAGCTCAGGTAGGCCAGACGGCTTGGATGGAACCGCTGTGGAAGTGCATCCCTTCAGTGCCTCCTAATCTGGTGTTGTCCTGAAGCAGAGCCATTGTGTGCTGCCTGACCTCCCTTGGAGGAAGGTTTTGTTGAACCCTGTCTCTGTCAGCCTCCTCTTCTCCCGAGTGGACTGCTGATCACAAGGTAAGCCTGTTGACCACCTGAACAGGGCTGTGCTTCTGCTCCTCTGCAGGCAGCAGTCCTCCCATGTGGTTTAAGTACAGCAACTTAAGCCTGCAGTTTACTTTTGATTAAAATGGGCAGTATCATTAGAAAGTCAACATATGAGAAAATTATAATTTGGGGGTGAAATGAGGTGTTTAACACAGAAAATAAGGATGGACTGCACTGCAGTTACTGGTTACTGTTTTAATGCAGAATGAATTCAGGGATAAAGATGAGCAGAAATTAGTTTTAACTTATGTTTGTGACAATTAGATTTAACTTTTCCTTAGAGCGGTCAGAGTCAGAAAGAAGGAAGTACAAGCACAAGTAAGAAGCTCTGAAAAAGAGCTTAAAATGTCACTGAACTGCACCACAGGTTTGTGTAATTGTTTTTGAAGTTACATACAGGAGAAGGAGGAAAATGAAACTATACTTGTGTGCGTAGCAGAACAAGATGGTAGATGCTAGTGCTAGATGAACTGGCACTTGTTCAGATCCTCTCCAGTGGTCTTGCCTGTTCTGTGGGACAATAATGAATGGAAAAAAGACTACCTGCCTGTAGCGTGGCTTCCAGTGTTGGGAGCAGCCTTGAGGAGCTCATGAAACTTGTACTTATGATGCAGCACAAGACAACATTTCTCACTCAGTGAACAAGAGAGTGGAAAGAGGGCAGTCAGCTGTAACCAACCTCCTACTTCATTCATTGGTACTTCTGAAGAATGAATAATGACATGAATACCTAAATACTGGCCTAAGTACAAAAGCTGCTATTGAAAAGTGTTCCAAAAAACAAAACGCAAGGATGAAAGCAAGGGGCTTTGTCCTTGGCAGGGTTGAGAAAGGCATCCAGGGGAGTTGCACTGTGAAGCATGCAAAAAAGAACAAGAATTGTGCTAAGCAATAATAGGTGAAATCTGTCACTGCCAGAAGAGGTCACTACACTGCTATCAATTACTGTAATCATTGCCAGTAGTCATCATCTGCGCACAGGAACAGCTCCCCTGTGTGTACAATTTGGAGGGGTAGCTTCTTCCTGTGTCCCTGAAAACAGGGGAGGGGACCTCACCAGCTCTACTGATCTTGCTGGGCAAAGCACTGCCTGTTAGGCAAACCTTAAGCACAAAAGCTGAACTAAGGTGACATGTCCAAACTATATTTTAGAAGGGTAGCAGCTTCCTGGAAGGTCTTCAACGCCCGCTCAGCCAGGAGGCAGGCAGGGCTGTGGTTCCTGCCTGTGGAAAGGCTGTGCAAAACTACTTAATTCCCCTGTCCTCACCGGGAAACAAAATAAAGCAAACTCAAAAGAAACCAAGTTATCTGGAATAATGGGGGAAGATAACTAATCAGTTCAGTTTTGGCTTGCATGATATCAGCCTTTCAACCATCTATGCCTGCAAGGACTACAAATCCCAGTGCCTCACATCTGCAGAAGACAGTTACTCCATCTGGAGAAGATTTAGAGTTGGCAACAGGTCAAAAAATCAGTAAGTTATATACTTATGGTCTAGAAATATGGAAAGGCAGTAAACTTGTGAAAAGTTTACCACTACAAACTCTAAAAAGGGCTTCACCCAATGCTATAGATAGCTAGAGAGAGCAAGTTGTCAGCACCTCAAGTGTTTCAGAGCTATGAAGTGTTGAAAGATAAGTGGTATGCTTCAGCAAGGACTGAGGACATTTGTACCACAGAGGGAAGCAGCATCCATCCTGAGCATGGTATTCTGGAGTCAGGAGGCAGCTGAACTTTACAAAAAACCAAACCCTTTCTTTTCAACCTGAGGCATGGACAGTCTCTCCCTGAGAGACCTGATGTCCACTTAGTTGCACAGAGACATTTGGGCAGACAACTGGTCTGGGTTCACTGGGATGGGAAAACTTTGATTGTGAATATTCTGAGCAGAGTTTGCTTATGGCTGATCCTGTTACAAATTCTTCTTCTCCCTACTGTAGTGTCTCTCTGTGCCTCTTTCCCACATTGGAAGCAGCAGTTTGATGATTTGTGCCTCTCTTGCTTTTGTGGGGAAATACTGCTTTGGGGCAACCTGATTTTCCCTTCTCCATCTTGCTGCATGTCTGTACCACAGATGTTTTGGGCTGTATTCAGCAGGGAAGGAACAGGGTAACAAAGAGGAAATGGTGTGTCTGGCTCTATATTCAGTATTTCCACCAGCCCACTAGCACTGTGCCTGCTGGAGTGGAGAACTGTCCCCACACAGGCAAGAGGGCTCATGTGGCGCTGCCAAGTGCCATCACACAGGCTGGAGGTTGCTGCTTTGCTGGGCAAGCAGGCCCCTGCTCTACTTTGCTCTCTGCTACAAAAGAAAAGTGCCTGTGGGATTCTCCCTGCACAGCTGGATTTGATTTGCTATGATTTGTACATAGTGGGTTAACAGTGAGATTTTTCTCTTGGTAATAAAATCACTAGGTTGTATGCTATTAGTTGAAAACTGACTCCATCAGTGTTTCAGTA